CTATAAGAGCCAGTCATGCTTAAAGTCGTTACTTTAATTGTAAGAAAGGGAATGTCGAATGTAGGGTTAATGATAGGAGTAAAGCGTTAGAAAAAGATAGTTAATCCGAGAATAATATTGAAAAACATAATGAAAAAAATATTCAAAATAGAATTTAGAGGATAGAATGAGTTTATTCCGTCTTAAGATTGTTATCCGAAATAACAATCTTAAGATAATAAATACATTTTAATTTGAAACTTAAATAGATATTATTTTAATTTAAAATATTCAAAATCATATAATTATATTTAATATTTAAAGTTAATTCTAATTTGACATATTCAAAAAGTAATTATCTGACTAATATTCAAATTAAAAATATCTTTTAATTTGTCATAGTTCAAAAGGAATATAATTTTAATATAAATATTAAATCTATCAATTACATTCGCATTTTTCCAACAATCTCACACATGAATAAAATTGTCAATTTTATCAAAAACATTTTGACACAGTGTGGTAATAGCCTTTACGACCGATAGTTGCATTGAATAGGTTAGTGTCTTGATTTGAACCTTCTCTTGTGACAATATATTTACTTTACTAGTTAAACAGTAGACACGATGTCCTTGAACTATTTTGTCATTTGTGTAAATGATAAAATACTTCACACAACTATCCCTCTAAAAATAATTTACTTCTCATGGGTATGTCTTTAAGGCAATCGATACCGCCTGGTTCTGCAAGAGTTTAAAAGAACTATGCCCAATAGTCTCCTTAAAGTAACCCCATTTTACTCTCACATAGGTGACTTATGTTGCTTGGCTCACCGAAACACAAAATGGTTATTAAAAACTTTACTTAGCCTATACCACTTTAATCACTATTTACATCATAAGAACGAACTTAGGATGATAGACTCTCATAGTGACTGTACACGATTTATGCAATTAGGTTATCCCTTTGAACCTAGATCTTGGGTTCTCCAATTAACTAGATAGGATTTTCCTTCACATAAAACCTTTAAATTACATGGGCTTTAGTCTCATTCCTTTAGAAGTTTTCTCAACTTGATTTCGGTTTAATCCTTTGGTTAGTAGCTCTGCAATGGTATCATTTGATCTTAAAAATAAAAAAAGATGACTCTATTTGAGATCAATTGTCTATGGTATTATGTCGATGACACATATGTCTCAACTTACCGTTATACTTAAAATTCTATACTAATCACAATATATACATACCGTGGGCACATGTTTCAACCATTTAAGACCATACTACAAGAAATTCCAAAGCCATTCAACTTATTCTCCATACTTATATAGAGCTTCAAATTCAGATTCTAATTATTAATCCTGTTATAACCGTTTTGATAAGGATTTTCATGACACGTCTTCTCCTCCCAATGTGAAACATATTCACTTGTATTGTTGATATCTTGAATATCAAATTCTAACTAGCATCTTATGTTTTTGATTTATTTTTATTCTATCTGGATAATCCGATTAATCCAAATTATTCTAACTAGCCATAGTTTATGATCTATTTTTATTTGTTTGGGTAATATGACAATTACCTTCTCAAGACACCCCACATTTTCAAGTATTTGTTGGAATGTTTTTGACCTTTCCATAATTCATATGGTGTCTTGTTCTTTTTTTCATGGGACCTTATTTAAAAGGTATTAATTGATAGAACAACTTCTCTCTCCCCATATGTTTTGTGACAACTCAAAACTTCTTAGCATTGCATTCATATTTCCTTTAAAAATCAATTCTTTCACTTTACTACTCCATTTATTTTAGGAGAATATAGTGATATCACTTCATGAATAATATCATATTGTGCATAATGGTTTAACATATTCACCACCACTATCACTTCTTACCATCTTAATCTTTTTATTAAGTTGGTTTTCAACTTATGTTTATAGAAAACAAATTTCTTTATAACTTCATATTTGCTTTTTTAGCAAATAAGCATAGCAATACTTTTGCTATAATCACTAAAGGTAATAAAATATTTATTCTCTCTCATTTTTGTCATTATTACGAATTTTAAGAACTTGGTCACTAACAATTCATTAGTATTAGCATCTTTTTTTGTATCTATGGTATACTATTATCCGTAATTCTTTTATCCACCTTATGTATACTATACACCTTATATAGCGTATCCGATAATACATTTAGGATGTAATTTCACAATATAAGAAATCATAATACTTCCAAAATTTAACAGCAGTAAATATTGTAACAACGTTTACCTCATACTCTCTAATGATAAGAGGATTATCCGATATTTGATCAAATTCAACATGATTAAATAAAACATCTTATAGTGTCACATCTTGAAAATCTATCCATATAATTTTACAAGTTTCTCATTATGGCCCATGACCACCAACAATCATGATTTCGTTTAACACACGAAATTAAAATTAATAATAATTCCAACAATAAACTAAAATTAAATTTTGATTTATTCTATCAACAGAGTTTAGTCATGAACTAGAATTCTAAATCAAATCAATAACATAGTTGTTACTTTCTAACAATTTCTATTATAAATAGAAATCAAATAATTCTGTTATGCAACAGAATTAAAATCCTAATTGATTTCAAATATGAAATCAAAGACTACAATAAATATAAAATTAATTCTCGTTTATTTTTTATTTTGTTATCAGACAAAATCAAAATTCTGAAACAAAATCAGTAACCAAAGTTACTTTCACAACAATTTTTGTTATACAAATTTGCCCAATTTGAGATTTTAGCAAACCTGTTAAAACGACAAGATAATCACGAAATAAATTTATTCGTTATCTCGCTTTCTCACTACTTTCGAATCATCTCAGATTAAGAAAGTTAGAAGAAAGAGTTCCGAATCATTTCGAATTAAAGAGAAATATTCAAATTTCACCTACATGATTGGCTTTATTGTTGTTAACCAAAACTTGAATTCTTGATCACCATTATTAACTTCATCGTTGTTAATCAAAACTTAAATCATTAAGATTCAAGGTGTGCCCTCATAAAGTGTGGAACCATAAAGATCTTGCAAATATTTTAGAATCTATTATTTGAATCCCTACACAGAAGTTAGTGGAGCCATGTCTCACATTAAAAATTAAACTAAAAAATATTCCTCAAAGAATTTGAAATTCAAAAATTCAAAATTGAAGAAAACTTACCATTGGCGTAAATTCCTCTTTATTTTCGTCTAATTTTTGTTTTGCTGAAATTTTGGCACTTCCCTTGTACACAACAAGGAATAACTACGAAATCTATATCATCTAGGAAAAATAACAATAATATATGTCTTAAGATTAATAGGAAAAGATCATTAATCCGAAAATTATATAGAAAACCATAATGATAAACATATTCAAAATAAAATCAAGTGGATAGAACGAGTTTACTATGACCCTTTTTCTAAATTGGTCCTTAAAATTTTGAATATTCTAATTTCATCTCCAAATTCATCCAAATATGTAATTATTTTGATCCGTAGTTTAACTTAAATTTTATTTTTTTCAAACATATAATTATATAATTTGGTTTAACGATTTTACTAACAATGGATGTGATATTATATATGTATATTCTGAATGAAATTGGAATGTGCAAAAATTTTGTGGACCAATTTAGAATGAAGATAATATAGTTTGGGGATAAAATTGAATTTTCAAAAGTTTGAGGACTAATTTAGAATGATAATCATAGTTTAGGGATAAAATTAAAACATTTAAAAGTTTAAGGATTAATTTAAAATGAGGGTCATACTTTGAGGACATGTGATGTAATTAACTCTTATATTTAAATTAAAATCTTTACTTCTACTGTTGTTTTTATTCTCACCACTCATCTAAAAAGACACCCTTAAACTTTTAATCTGTTAGGAACCTGAATAAAGGAAATATCAATTAATTAATATATTTAATACTTAATTAATATAAAAATTACATATTTAATATGTGATATTTATTTTAAATATATTTTTAAGTGTTAAAATTACCTTTTCATCTATTAATATCTAAATACATTGATCATCATTAAATGTGTAGGATTCATATATTTAAATTCATAATCATTCCAAATCCTTAAATCAAATAATCACATTTTAATATATTTCAAATTATAATTTTCATATTAGAATTTTTATTCCTTGAATTATCAATGAAAGAAATTGTGCGACTTAGCCCAAGTTGGCTCAAATCAAACCCAACCCAAAAGGATTTGTTTGTAATTTTCCAAGTGACAAATAAAATAGTACCAGTGGTTCCTTATATTTTCAGTCTATTCGATTCTGATTATCGATTTTGAAAAAAAATGATTTTGATCACTTTCTATTTTCAGTCGTCTTATTTTGATTACTAGACCATTAATTCATGTTACTCTGTTGATGTAATATATTAGTGAAAATAATTAAATTTTAATTTATCACTGAATTTTAAATAGAATACAAATTTAATCTTAAACTTTACATAAAATTTATTTTAACCCCTAAAAATTTATTAATTGCCCGAAATACAAATTCAACCCAAAAGGATTCGTTTGTAATTTTCCAACATACAAATCCAACCCAAAAGGATTCCATTGTAATTTCCCAAATAATAAGGGGTGTGTTCGTATCTATATGATCCATTCCGGTCTTCCCCATCCATAACGGTTACTCGTCAAATGATATCCCAATCATTTCTCTTAATCACTTAATCTAGCGGTTTATAAATGAAATCCGCAATTTTCAAATAATTAATCCGACGGTCTCCAAATAACCCCCCAAAACTAGCCGTTACGCAGAGCGTCTCCAGGCTTCTAACGTTCATATTTTTCTTCTTTTCTTTGATTTATTATTTTCTTCCCTTCCTCTTCTTTCATCAAAAATCATAGACTCCAAGGATTTTTTCTCACTTTCTCGGAATTCTCCTTCTTTCTAATCAATCAAACACTAATACCCAGTTTTTATCTTCAATTTTCGGTTCATTTCTTGAAAGATTTCCCCAGTTTTTCTCAATGGAGGTTGCGAAGAATTCAAAACTGGGGACTCCTGTGAAAGACCCAGAAGGTTATTCTCGATTGAAAACTCCAAAAGATTCGAAACATTCTGAGAATTCAAATCCAAATATTTCCGATTCAACTTCTCCATTAACAAGATCTTCAAAATCCAAGAAACATTCTTCCAAGAATACACTCATCTATTCACCGGGTAACAAGCTTAGGGAAAGGAAGTTTGCATTTCTTGAAAGATTTCCCCAGTTTTCTCAATGGAGGTTGCGAAGAATTCAAACTGGGGACTCTGTGAAAGACCCCAGAAGGTTATTCTCGATTGAAACTCCAAAAAGATTCGAAACATTCTGAGAATTCAAATCCAAATATTTCCGATTCAACTTCTCCATTAACAAGATCTTCAAAATCCAAGAAACATTCTTCCAAGAATACACTCATCTATTCACCGGGTAACAAGCTTAGGGAAAGGAAGTTTGTGGTGGTGGCAAAGAAGAACTTTAAGAGGAGAGACAGGTTGATGGAAGAAGCAAGGAATAGTGTGCCTGAATGTGGGAAAGTTATGCATCTGGTTAAGGCCTTTGAGAGGATTCTTTCGATACCGGATCCAAAGGATACAGATAAGGAAGGAGAAGATGAAAAGGAACCAAAAGAAGAGAAGATTGATAATTATAATAACAAGGAGAAGCCACTGAAATGGGCGTTACCTGGATTGCAACCAACAAATGTGACCAAGGGTGACGCTGAGAATGATGACGAGACATCGTTTTCTTCATTTTGTTCATCAGATTTTGTTTTGACTGCTGAGAATCTTGGTTTGGATCAGCGTTTCTCAGTTTCTTCTTCGTGGGATAGTAGCCAAGGAAGGTCAGAGAAGCAACTGATTGATTAGTTTACCCGCCTGCAAACATATTTGCTCATTCTTTTTATATTTTTAAGTTGTATGATTATTGGTTCTCTGTTATATCGTTCCTTTATTTTTGCAGGAATTCTAATGGAGGTCGAAGAAGCCGAAGAAATGTAAGTAACCACTTTCTTAAGGCTTAAGCTAATATATTTTCACTTTTCATATTGTGATCACGAAAGCATTGGTTAATTATAGTAAACATTATCCATGAATACTGATTGTGAAAAGAATGGAAATTGCAAAATAGCTAACATTGATCTGCTTATAAATGAATCATTAGGCCTCTCTAAAATTGGTTATATAGGTATAGAGGTCTATACTTTGAACATGGATCACAGATATAAATATATGCAAACATAAATGTTTATTTTCTGCGTTTTCGCTTGTGGATTTTGTATTGCATTTTAGAGCTCTGGCTCTGCCGGGACAATTGGTGGGAGGAGATGGAAAAAGCAGCTCAAACCCACTTCCCTAAAACCATTCAAGCTAAGAACTGAGGTACAGTTTCTGTTTATAGACCATGTATCCATCTTTATTTGAGGTGATTCTTATGTTATAAACTTCAATCGCTTGCTACTATTACAGCAAAGAGGTAAGGCCAAGGAAGAAGAGTTCATGAAGAAGATCCATGAAATGATGATAGAGCAGGAGAAGCAGCGGATCCCGATTGCTCAAGGCCTCCCGTGGACAACCGACGAACCAGATGTCAGAGACCTACTTCTATTCAGTTCAAATTAATTGAAAATATCAACAGTTGATGGGTCTTTCTCATCAATTCAAGCGTGTTTAATGCAGGTCTTGATCAAACCTCCTGTTAAAGAGAGCACAAGACCAGTAGACCTAAGACTCCATAGTGATGTGCGTGCGGTGGAGCGAGCCGAGTTCGATCACCAGGTTCATTTTAATTTCTACTGTCTGATCTGCAGTATATATTTTGGTGGCATTGAAGTGCCATAATGTGTATCTAATTTGAAGTACATATATAGATAACAGGTTTGGAAAATCATTCTTTGCTTGTGTGTTTCCAGGTGGCTGAGAAGATGAGTCTAATAGAGCAATACAAAATGGAAAGGGAGAGACAGCAAAAGGTAAATGATCTTAATATATATTTATATGCATGATTTAAGTTTTTTTTGACTTTAAGCAAATAATCTAAATTGGTTTTTTGCTGTTGCAGATGGCAGAAGAAGAAGAGCTAAAGAGGCTTAGGAAGGAGCTCATTCCAAAAGCACAGCCTATGCCTTACTTTGACAGGCCTTTTATTCCTAGAAGGTAAAAGATTTTACCTCGGTTTAGCTTCAAAATTCTCAAAAAATTATTTGATCAAGCTTCGAAAGCTATGTTCTTATTGTTTATTTGGGTGCTAATGTGGTGTTTGTTTGAAGGTCATTAAAGAATCCAACTATACCAAGGGAGCCAAAGTTGCACATTCTACAACATAAGAAAATAAAATGCATGTCATGGAATGACATGAGCCAGTACACTTTCCAAGGCAATGAAGCAAGAGAAATATAGGGTTTTTTTTGTTACTTAATTTACCAAAATAATGTCAATCCTACTCTCCCCCCGTGGAAATCCTCCCAAGATTGTGTGTAACTTGAGCAACCAATTTAGTTGCACTTCTCATTTTCTTTGGTGCAAATGAAACATCTCATTCTTTGAAGGCCTTGCAGAAGAGCCAATCTGATTTCTTAGCAATTTGGTATGATTCTATTTCTTTGAACAACACATAGTTTCTTTTATTATTGCAAAACGACATAGTATTAACGAGAATAAATCTCATCCATCGAATACGACACCGTGTCAGTGTTAAGCATTAATTAAGCCAAGGAAAAACACCGCAGCCAGACCTTCCCTCTCTTCAGTCTACACAAACCAAAAATATACAATCAACAGAACAAAACACAGACACACACACACAAAGAAAAGAACCACAAAAAATGGCGATGAAGTAGCTTCTCTCTCTAGCTCGCTGGTCGTACAAGCCTTCTTCAATTTTCACCATCGTCCGATCGTCTTCCTCAGCCGCTTCTCCTCTCGCTTCTACTGCCTACGCCTAATCTAAAGAGATCTTCCCTCCCCCACCAACCGCCATGATCTAAAACCCTTTAGCCCTCTCCGTCGAACAAAAGCTCCAAAAGCTCGAAAACCCAGATGTCCGTTTCCTTAGGATACGGTTCCCCTCACCCCACCCTGGCATCCCACACGCACATCTTGTCTTCCGCCGAAACCGAAATTACTACTTTGCCCAACGGCCTTCGTGTCGCCACTGAATCTACTCTATCTTCCCGCACGGCCACTGTTGGGGTCTGGATCGATGCAGGGTCGAGATTTGAGACCGATGAGACCAATGGGACTGCACATTTCTTGGAGCATATGATTTTTAAAGGTACCGAGAAAAAGTCCGCGAGGGAACTGGAGGAAGAGATTGAAAACATGGGAGGGCATTTGAATGCTTATACTTATAGGGAACAGACGACTTATTACGCCAAAGTCATGGATAAAGATGTCTTTAAAGCGTTGGATGTATTAGCTGATATTTTGCAGAATTCGAAGTTCGATGAACATCGAATTAGTAGGGAAAGGGATGTAATTCTGAGGGAAATGGAGGGGGGAAGTAAAAATTGTTTCTTTTTCCTTTTTGATTTTAAATGGATTTTGTCAAATACCTGTTCTTATATTTAGAGTCTATTTTCTCTATTTTAAAGAACATAGGAGTGAATAGGAATTGGGTTTTCACATGGACGCATCATAATTGATCGGTTAACGAACTGATTATGTTACCGGTTTACTGGTTCAATCGATCGAATAAATTTGATCGGTCAGAAGAACCGGACGACGTCATAATTATTTAAAAAATTAAATAAAAATACTAAAAATATTTAATAAAAAATATTTTTTATATCACAAGTCATATTCAAAGCAAGTCATAACATATAAGTTAAAAACCATAAAATCAAGTAAAACAAAATGATTCAAATTAACTACAACATAATATTTAAGGTAAAATATATTAAATAATAAATATAATTATATAACTATAATTAAAAAATAAATTTGGGGTTAAAAAAATCGTAACAAAATGATATTGTTTGGTTTAATTTAAAAAAAAACAATCTCACATGGCTAAGAAACATAAAAGAGCATCCCAAAAGTCTAAAGAGTAAAAATATGAGAACAAAACAATCTCACATGGCTAAAAAACATAGAAGAGCATCCCAACTAACTTCTATAAATAATAGAGGTAATTTGTCATTCAAAATCATGGAGCATTTTGGTGAGCATTGAATGAACTATTCTTCCACTTCAATCAAGCTCGAATTTTAGGCTTCAATCGAGCTTCTAATTTGTTTTTGAGTTCAAGCCTTTTCGAGTTCAAGTTTCAATATTATATTTCGAGTTCGAGTTGAACTTGATAATTTTTAGCTCGTGAGTTTGAGTCGAGTTGAGCTTACTTTTAAAGTTTTTAAGTTCGAGTCGAGCTCAGCAATACTCAAGTTCGAATTGACTCATTTAACAAACGAAGTCGTTTGGCTTAATTTAAAAAAAAATTGGCGGTTCTTTTCGGTTTTCAGCCGGTCCAGTTTGAACGGTTCAACGGTTCCGGCCGATTCACTAGTAGCGGTTCAACTGGTGTAGATTGAACCGGACTAGATAGCGATTCCCGATTGAACCAGCCGATCCGATCCGATTTTCAAAACACTGCATGTAGGGTGTAAATAAGTATAAAGGTTGATGATTGTTTTAAAAATGTCAACTTTGTGGAAGATATATGATTTTTAAGGAACGTTCGACGAAAATGATTATTGGGGAGAAGAAGGATATAAACTTTGTGGAAGATATATGATTTTTAAGGAACGTTCGACGAAAATGATTATTGGGGAGAAGAAGGATATAAATTCAACAACGTAAAAAATTGGCTTTTTATGGGTTTAGTTTGTTTTGTCTTATGTGTGTTTGATTACTTGATTCTGTCATGTATTTTATCTGCTTTGGGGAATATTAGAGGTAATTGGAATCAATATATATGGAGGAGGTAAAAAAGTAAAACGTGTGTGTGTGGGTGTGTGTATGGAACTGACCATGTTGCTCAGACTAATGTCATTAACTAGAAATAATTTTCAAAAGTTTTTACGAAGAATTTTGGATCCTAATCGAGTAAAAATTATTATTTTTATAATAAAGTATCAATACTACAATAACAATAATGTATTGTTTATGAAATACTGATACGGATATTGATACTAATGTATAAAAATACACTAAAATACCGATATTTCCTTTACAGTTTTGATAAAACAAATTCATTCTAAAGACTTTATTAACTCTCACAACAATCCAAACGTGTATATTTTTTAAAGGATAAATCTCAGACAGTTGTAACCTTTGGCTTATTTTAAAAATTGTTTCAAAATCAGTTTGTGTAACTATTAAGTCTATACATAGTGATTGGGGGGAGAGTATATGAGTTTGTCCCCAGTCCTACTCAAAGCAGTCATCATCCATCGAACTACATGTCCTCATACCTCCGAGAAAAATAGAGTGGTGGATAGGAAACACATGCATGTAATCGAGCAGTTCCTTGTGTTACCTCTATGCCTCTATGTTACTTGTAATATGCTGACGTAACAGTAATAGGCTTCCAGCAAGGGTGTTGGGAGATCTATTACCCTCAAAGAAGTTGTTTGACAAGGAGTCAAAGAATGGTGAGTTAAGAGTGTTTGGTTGTAGGTGTTATCCCTATTTGAAACTGTTTCAGAGGCACTAGTTTGACTTAAGGTCACAACCATGCACCTTTCTTGGATAGAGTGCTCGACACAAGAGGTATCATGTTGAAAAACGGTGCACATGACACCGAAAATCATTCAATTGCTTTGTCAAATGGGGGCACCGAAAGGTGTATAAAATATATTATTTTATTTTATGGTAAAGTCATATCTAGTCATTGTAATTTAGGGTATTTACAAATTAGTCCTTAATTTTCAACTATAAATACCCTAGCTTATTTAGCTTCAAAACCATCCCAAAGCATTCTAGCTTTCTTCCAATACTATAGAGAATTTAGAGAGTTTCTTGAGAGTTGTTTTCTCCTTTTTATCAAGAGAGAATTATCATTGTTTTCTGCTTGGTAGATCGAGAGAGGTTGTAATTCTTATTTTCTCATAGTGAAATTCTTATACCGTTGCCTGTGGTTTTTACCCTATAAAATTTAGGGGTTTTCCACGTAAATTTTGTGTCTCTTTTATCTTTAATTTTTATTTTCTCAAATTATCAGTTGCATTTTTGTTCTATCCGATAGCCGTCTTCCGCAACAATTGGTATCAAAGCCAGATTTGAGTGTATAATATCTGCTTATTGTCTTTGTGGTTACTACCAAAAGGTGGATCCTCCAACATAAGATAGTAAGAAGGTATTACCCATTCTTTGAAGGTTCCAGAGAACTATTCACGATAGTGAAATAGTGTGAGCTATCCGTAAAAGAAGCTATGACAACAAATGACAACAAATGGATCGAAATGAATGGGAATGCTATGACAAACTTTCATCTAGCATTAGCAGATGAAGTATTGTCAAGCATCAAGGAGAAAAAGACAGCTAAGGAGATATGGGATCATCTCACCAAACTGTACGTGGCCACATCACTGCACAATAAAGTTTTCTTTAAGAGAAAATTGTACACTCTCCGTATGCCAGAATCTACTTCAGCGACAGAGCACTTAAATACATTGAACACTTTATTTTCTCAGTTTACATCTTTAAGCTGTAAAATAGGAGAACAAGAACGTGCTGAACTTATACTTCAAAGTCTACCGGATTCGTATGATCAACTCATCATCAACTTGACAAATAGTAATGTCACCAGTCTAGTCTTCGATGAAGTTGCGGCTGTTGTTCTACAAGAAGAAAATCGGCGCAAGAACAAAGAAGACAGACAAGTAAATCTGCAACAAGCAGAAGCGTTAACAATGATGACAACGATGAGAGGGAGATCAACAGAACGTGGCCAAAGCATCAGTCACAAACATGGTAGATCGAAGTCGAGAAGCAAGAAGAATTTAAAGTGCTACAACTGTGGAAAGAAGGGTCACTTGAAGAAGGATTGTTGGAGTCTAAATAAAAACTCCAATCCACAAGGCAATACCGCAAAAACTTCAGATGATGGAGATGCTCTATGCTGTGAAGCGTCAACCACCGTGGAAGGCAGAAAAAGATTTGCAGTCAATTGTGGCTACATCCATAACAGAGGCAGAATATGTAGCAGCTACACAAGCCAGTAAAGAAGCAATTTGGTTGAAGATGCTATTGGAGGAGCTTGGGCACAATCAAGAGTATGTCTCTCTGTTTTGTGATAGTCAAAGCGCCTTGTATTTAGCAAGGAATCCAACATTTCATTCAAGGACAAAGAACATACGAGTTCAATACCATTTCATTCGTGAAAAGGTGGAAGAAGGGAAGGTAGATATGCAAAAGATCCATACCAAAGACAACATAGCAGATTTCATGACGAATGCGATCAATGCCGATAAATTTACTTGGTGTCGATCCTCTTGTGGCCTGATGGAAATATAAGAAACATGAAGGTACAAGGTAGAAAGAATGGTGTGAAGATATGATTGTTCCAATCAAATCTTCAAG